CTTTATTTCACGAGATTTTTTTTTTCCGCAAATTTTCAGACATTAAACCTCGCAGAATTTCTTTTAAGGTTTATGGTACAACAAAATAACTATTTGCTTGTTTCGTTTCTCTATTTAAAGCAAGAAAAGACAACCTAACCATCGCTTATGCCAAAATGAAAGATTTCACAAATCCAGTGAACATGGTGTACTCGTATGAAGTAGCACAGACACCGCAGAACAAGAGGTTGAAAGGTCTGCTCATGGACGTGCGCATGCACCTGAGAGCCACAGTGAATGCATTGCGTCGTATGGTGAGAATGCGAAAAAGTATTTCTATTAACAAGCATAGCAGTGATCAAAACTTTCAAAACTTTCAAATCAAGCAAACTAAATGCGCAAATTAAAGTTCCGTTCCTTTTCGTGACAAATTCATGGTGAAGTTAAGAATGAATTTGAGGTATAATTTTGTCAAACCTTCAATTTCTAGTTGTCTGTCAATTCAGTCCCAGTACGTTTTACTCCTTTCCTAATTAATTACTTACTTATTTAGTCATTTTACATAAGGATAGATTTATTTAATTCTTGTTTGTTGATGTCAGTGTTTCGCTCACGTTTCCGAAAAAAATTCATGATTAGGGAGATTAAAGTTTCTAACGACTGATTAGGATAAATCCTTGTCATTTCATTCTACGTCGCGAAGGTGTTCTCGGAATCGGTCACCAATGTGTGACCTTTTTGCAATCAGTGCAAGTTATGCAGTAGATGACACTGGCGGAGGCACACGTGAAGTGGTGAGTGATCTTAATAGATCACTTGGGTCCAAACATTTTCTCTACGTTATGAATGAAAGGACAAGTTTTGCATACTAAGCAAGCGCATTGGAAAGTTCCAGGTTGGTTATTGGTTTGAAATGAACTTTTGTCCAAAAAGTTGCCTGTGTTTTTGTCACGTTTGAATTAAACTGGTGGAGGTTGCAAAAAGATAGTACCAGTCTCTGAATCGTTTTTAAGTACTTCAAAGTTTTTGAAAATGATGTATTTAACAGCGTGGTTGTGAGGGTGAAATGTGAGAGTGAATGGAAGGCGATCAGTATTTCCCTTCTCAGCCGTTTGTAGTGACTGCTGACTGTCGATCATTGTTGGGCACGGTGGTGGCCCGCTTGAACGACAAGAACTGGATAGCCACGTTTATCGAAAACATGGCACATTGCCTCTGATTTTTCTGAAAATCAGAGTCGTCACTACATGAACGACGAAGTCTGAAAAAATGTGAAAATGGTATGGAATTCTTGACTTGTGATGAATGCGAAGATGAATACAACAAGTAACTA